GCTTATCTCCAAGCTGGAAAAAAGCGGCAGCCATGTTAATGCAAATACCGCGGGGGATATTTAAATCCCCTGCGGATTTGCCTATTCCAAAGTGCTACATTAGCATCCCTTTTCCGGAAGGGATGCCAGTGTAGACACAGCCCTCTTGTCCTGATCTCCAGTTTTGCAGCCAAAATAAAGGTGATAGGCTTTCTTAACCATAGTGGTTATACTGCGCTTTTGTGATGCAAAAGTCACTTCACCACAAACATAGCAGAAGTTATCTGCACTGTTCGCACAAGTACGAGGCATCTCTGCTCACTTTGGCTAAACAGAAATGTGTTCCTTTGCAAAATCAAACACTGACAAATAAGAGAGCATGACACTGTATGATTTCTAGAGCTGATATAGGGCAATTTGTTCAGCAGAGTGATGTAAGCTTCGTTATGATTGTATCATCCATGACTTCTAGGAATAACATGATGCAATTCATATCATGTATGACACAATACCACCTTCAGATTGCATCATTCATTGTTTTTGCCTAAAAAGCAAGTACTGTCCAAACCCAGTCATAGATTTATTCATAGATCTAGTCAAAGACGTATTTTAGTCATTTCTGGTTTAAATTGAGATCCCTTCCCTTTATAACTCACTTATCCTCCGCCATTTGCAAGTCAAGGGTCGTATATACTGACCCCATAGCATATCTTGAAAACTAGAGCCAATCAACAATTTTAAGCATCATTTTCGTTCTCAGTGACCCAGAATTAGTAAAGTTTGACTACTTTTATTTCAGAAGCATTTTGGCTGTAGAGCAGTGTAATTTGCCAAGGTCTCAATTGCTTTGTGTAGAGGCGGTGCGCCTCTGGAATTGGTGCATTTGCAACAGGATCACATTAATAGCATCGTACTTACCTGGCATCAGCAGTGCTGCTGCAGACTCCCTGAGCAGACATTTCACGCCTGGCCACGAGTGGGAACTCTGCAGCGACATACTTCAGTGTATTTTCCGTTGCTGGGGTTTCCCTCTGATAGACCTCTTTGTCACCTACAAAAATACCAAAAGCTGATGATATTGCTCCAGGGCAGGCATCAGTCGAAGATCCCTTGGAGATGCCTTTCTCCTCAACTGGGAGATCCTGTATGCATTTCCCCCCATCATACTTATACCTAGGGTCCTTGAGAAAATCAACACAGACTGAGCCAGGCTGATCCTCCTAATGCCCGCCTGGGTTCCCTTTTTTCCACCAAATGTCTCTGTATCCGCCATATGTCCTTCCGAATCCACCGGACTTGCAGACCCAGGACCGCAGCTTCCTCTTATAGTCGTATAGTCTCATGCATTACCACTTGCTATTCTAGTCTCAATAGACTGCTTCCATCTCAACCAAAGGCTCGTCCTACAAGAGCTGTAGCCACATCCATGGCCTTTCTTCGAGGGGTTCCCCTTCGGGACATGTGTCAGGCAGCCACATGGTCATCCAATGACATGTTCATGAAGCACTACGCGATCATGCAATGTTTGGCTGCGGACTCCTCGTTAGCCTCAGCAGTACTTTCAACATCAAACAAACCTTGACTCTGGAGCCCACTTTCCGGACATTCTTGAGTACTGCTACATAGTCACCTACAGTGCACCCAAGGGGACATCAGTTGAAGAAGAAGAGGAAGTTACTCACCTTTGTGCAATAACGACAGTTCTTCAAGATGTTTGTCCACGTGGGTGCTCCACTACCTGTCCTCCCCGCTACGGAGTCTCCTGTTCTTCCTTTCTGCTCTTTTTCAGACACTCGATCGGATGAGAGGAACTGGTAGGAGCCGGACTGCGTGTGTGTGCAAAAGAGCATGAACGCCACGAGGTACTGGCCGCGCATATGCGATCTGGCTGACCACTGCTGCTCAAAACTCTGGTCTGCGGTGCCAGGATGAGCCCGACACCTACAGTGGAGCACCCCTGGGGATGCACATCTTGAAGAACCGTCGTTACTGCATGAAGGTGAGTAACTTCTTCATATAGCTCCTCTCAGCCTGGAGGCTATGAAAGCAGTTTACAAAGATAACAAGCTACTCATACCAACTCTTTACATGGATCACATCATCTGTATGAAGCATCTGTACCATGAAATATAGCTACTGTTCATTCTCTGTAGCAATATTAGCACTTTAAAACAGAAGGTGTCATAGGGCAGTTCCACCTGAATACTGCCCTGCTGAAGACCACAGCATGACAGGAGCACCTACCTAAGTTTTCCTCCTTCAGGCTTCCCAAAAATAGTTCAGTGCATCATCCCAAGTGTAAATATAGCCCTGGTGGGGTCACTTATTCCCAAAGCTCCTCAAATATAAATAATAACAAATGTCCCAAAAATCATAGTCTAGATTTCCCTACCATAGTCATAACAGTCCATGCAACATACCAGTCTTGCATCCCTCACCATTTCTCAGCTCTTCATTGTTGTGTTCTCCTGTTCTTATACTAGCACTGCCCCCCACGAGCCCTTTCAACGGGAGTGCCTGCTAAGGAGAGCTGGTGGAACTCCCACAGCCTCTCTGCTGGGAGCGTCCTTGCCAGGGAGCAATCCTCACAATCATCTCTCTGACCTTCTGGTCATTACAGGCCACAGAGCCTCACCCACCTACTCCTGCAATAGACCCCTAATCACTGGCTGAGTTACTCATGGTTCTTCTGGGCCCAGCTCTGCAGACCTGGAGATTTCAGCAGGTAATTTACCCCCTTTTCTTCAGCCGTTGGCTTCAGCTCTCTGGCTTGGATCCAGCAGGCTGCTTTTCCTCCTCCCATCACTGCCCAGCAAATCCCTTGTGCCCTTCTCCTGCCTTCAGCCCTTCTCCCAGCCACCAAATGTGCCATCTGCAGTATCTTACCTGCCTTCTTCTTGACAGATTCTGATTCACCAGCTCTCTCTTTGATCCTTAATAGCCCATAGATGAGGGGTGGGTGATAAGACAATGTATCTGCACCTCTGCAGGTACAGGTGCTTGTTGCTCCCATTGGCCATGGCTCATTATTCCCAGCCGATTGGAAACATGGGAAGTGGCATGTACTGGGACACCACTTCCCGCACTCCCATTGGCCAGGAATGGTGATCTGTGCTGCGCCCATACCTGCGGAAGCACAGTAAATACAGCAGTGCTGTCCTGTTAGGGGCTGGCAAACCGGGTCCCCACTGCTGCCATATATGCTGCCTCACTCTTCTAATTGGCAAAATAGGAGCACTTGGTCTGGCACAAGGGAGCTGGACCTGCTTCATCCACAGTGGCCAGCCAGATGGAAACCGAAAAGGGAAGGTTTATAGGTAAAATATAAGTTGAAATTTAGCTAGAGCACTGGCTTTAATGCTCTTAATTTTAGAGATGAATCCACCTGCACTGAAATCAATGTAAAGTCTGTCATTGACTGCACTTTAGCACCATGAAAAATATTTTGATTTCTTTACCTGGCACAAAAGCCTAGGCTCTCAACTTCAGGTTCCAAAAGATGAATATTTGCTCTTATTTTATGCTAATGTACAATATTTACCCCTCAGAAATTAGGTTGAATTTTCATCAAGTGATATAGTCTCTTTAACATAGTTTATCTTTTTCAATTTTAGATCTACAAAATGAGAATCAACAGTTAAGAAGTGAAAATATCAACTTGAAACAGCATCTTCAACACTATAATCAGCTTCAGGAGCTCACAGAGATGTTGCAAGAAAGTCACAGGTATATTGAAGGGCCTGTTCAGAAATAAAAACAACCATATAAGAAACCCAGATCCTTGGCATATTGAATACTTTGATATTTTAAATACGTTCTGTATTAAAGTACAAGAACTTCTCAGTTAAATGTTTACGTAAAGTGGAAAACATTCAATACATTTAAAATGTAAACACAGTAGGCCTTTTATTCTTAGTGTTTAACGAACAATGAAAAGTTTATTTGACGATTTCCTTACTACGCCATAGCAATTTTTTTCAGTCCATAATAGTAGTTATCTGTAGATTGTGTGGAGGCAGCACAAGATGCTGCTTAGCTACCCATCTGCTCAGCCAACTCTCTACCTCTTAAATTGACAAACTATAAAACTAAATCACCAGCAACATTTTAAACATTTCATTTTTTTATTTTTCAAATTTTAAACAACACAGATTTATACTTAGTTGAAACTTAAATAGCTTACAGGATGAATTGTTAATTACAGATGGAAAATGATCAGATAACAAATTTTCCATTCTGCTTCATGACCTCTCCACTTGGGAAGTAAAAACAGCAACAAATTGAGATTTGGGAGTGGAGAAGATAATGGGCCTGAATTAATACCGTGTTTCTCCCTGGGGCTGAGTAGCGGCCTTGTGTGCTTCTCTGACTCAGCACTATATCCATTTTGCCCACTGAGGTGTGAATGTGCTAGGTCTTGTGCATTTAGCACAGAAGGAAACAAAATGGATTTTCTTCTAGGTTCTGTATAAATGGAGATGGAGTGTTACTGCTCTGCATACATACCTCCCAGGGAAAAAAACTTGAATTTTTGTTTAAAGGCAATAGTTGAGAGGAAGAAAATGAGGCTGGCCCTCCCACTGGAGGAAAATATCTGGGGAGCAAGAGGGAGACAGGACAGAGCAGATGGGTTGCTAAGCAACAGCTTGAGCTGCCTCCAGTTTCACTGGGGAAGGAGGAGACCCCTGACTTCAGCTGAGCTGCTGGAGAGCTTGCGGACAAGAGAGATTATAGATGTGTTTTATGAAGATATAAATATTAGTGTATTATTGTTTGAATGATGTAAGGATTAATTCTTCTAATAAGTAAATAGTGATGCTCTGTGAAAGTGGAAGAAATAGAATCTGAAGTACAGGCAGTCCCCGGGTTACATCAATCCGACTTACGTTGGATCCCTAGTTACAAACTGGGGGGGGGGGTGCCTCCCCCACTGTCGCTGCCTCCGGCGGCGCGGGGGGCGCCCCCCCCAGCAGACCAGGGAGACGCGGAGCGGCTTTTCTCGCTGCGGAGGACGCGGGCGGCGGGACTGCGGCGCGTCTGGGCGGTCCTGCCGCCTGCGTCCTCCGGGGCGAGAAAAGCCCCGTTCGTAAGTACAGATCCGACATAAGTCGGATCGTTTTAAGTCTTCTGAATTTAGGGCTTGATCCAAAGCCCAACATGTCAATAGAGTCCATCAATGGCTATTAGCCAGGATGGGCAGGGATGATGTCTCTAGTCTCTATTTGTCAGAAGCTGGGAATGAACTAAAGGGAATGGAGCGCTTTAGCACTAGAGCTGCAAGTATCTTGTTAGCGTCACGTGAAATTAACAAGTCCCTTCCAGCCTGGCAGAGGTGAAGCTGAAAAATTACCCAGTGGTGTGGGTGGGCAAGAATGGGGAGGAGCAGGACAGAAGGGAAGAGGGGATAAGCCCCAACCCCACACCCTGGCTGGAACGGAGCAGGGTAAGCCCCAAGGGGATGGGTCTGGTTGCAAAGTGGGCGAGTGGGCAATAAGGACCCACCTGTGGCTAAACTCCTGTTCCCAACACAGAATTTTTCTTTAAAATTAATCCTGTGGATAAATTCACACACACACTTCACAGGAAGGGATTTCCATTTTCTGCTCAGCAGAATACAACAGCTTTGATTGTATCAATATTTCACTGTGCTCTCCAATGACTATTGATTACACTTAATACCCATTTCACTGAACCATCTGTAGCAAATTCTATTTGGAACAGTAATATGCATTGAATAAACTTTTTTTAGTTATAAAAAAACAAAGATTCTGACTATTAAATGAATAACTGGGATCTTTCAGGTACCCCAAAAGGAAGATTTGGATATAGCATGAAACACTGAAACTTATGATCAATTTTTAATTAAAATATCAACCAAAAAAACCTTCATATCAAAACAGTATGTGTTTTTCTTAGAATAAGGAAGTTGTATGAGAATCAGGGTCTTTTCCACCTAACTCCAGCTCCCCCCCCCAAAAAAAATATGTACCAGTTCCGACTTACATACAAATTCAACTTAAGAACAAACCTACAGTCCCTATCTTGTACGTAACCTGGGGACTGCCTGTATGCTGTTTAACCACAAAAGAGATAAAAGCAGAAGTATTGGCAGTGGCAGGTGCTACATGTACTGACCTATTAATGTTTTGTGTTTATATAGTGCCCTGGGAATTAGAGGACTGATTTTATACATTGAATAAATGAGTTTCAGCCACATTCTGAAATGATCATCTCTTAGGAGCAGAAAGCATGTTAGTTTCCATGCCCATTTTGATATTGCCTTCTGTGCTAAACCAGTCAGGAAGGAGGGGTTGAGTGATATGTGGGTCTTGTGATGTTTTTACGTGCTATTTGAGGAGACAAACAGAAACAATCAGTTTATTTCAGTGTAATTTATGTCACCTATGTCATCCGTCCAACGGTAATGACTTTCAGCCATTGATCAATTTGGGCTTATTTAAACCAGTAGCAGATACTGTGGCAAAAGTCTCATAGGGTCTCCTAGAAACAACTCATTTTAAGCAAACCCTACTATTCCGCAGGAGCCACAGATTCTGTTTACAAGATTGATGCAGCTGTAGCATCCCTCACAAAGGATTTGAATCTTCTCCAGATCCCATAGCATAAAGGCTTCCTTGTTAACTATAATTTGCTGGCATCAGTGTCCTGGTGTGATAATCTAAAAAATATAATCTCCCAGAACTGTGATGAACTTGAGTGAATAGTAAAGAGAATACACCTTTCCACACTATTTGTGGTGGATGGACCATGGACTCCAGGGGCTGATGGTAAAACACTGCCTAGGAGCCAATTCTGGCATTTTCTAGGACTGACCTTTGTCCCTAGTATAAACCACTTGAAACAAGTTCTCTTGGTTATTAAATGGTCACTTTTCAGGACCTGTAACATAAACTGCTATATTATAAACTGTTAAAACATTATATGTAATCTTCTAATAAGAAACTACTGCTTCCATCCAGTTATAGAATTACTTAGCTGGTGAGAGGATAGAAAAGGCAAAACACTAGCCCCTTTTTGTTGTGTTTTTGCGCTTCAGTAAGCTGCTATTTTTGTTTGGGGGAGATGAGATTTGGGCCTTATTTTGAGATGGCTGTGGTGCGAACATGCTGGAGAAAGTTCCCCTTATGAACTTTGTTTTTGCATGACTAACAATTTTTGACTTGTTCTTAGGATAAGTGTCAGTAATATCTGAAAGACTGCTGTATATAACTTCCTTTCAGTGTGATTTGGAGATGGGACAAAAGTAGGGGGGAAATCTTCAACTTCAGATAAAATGAAATGTGGATCTGATGAATCTCAGTTTTGCTATTTAGAAAAAACAAAAGCACCCTTGGTTTTGCACATCTATATCCTAAGCACATGAGAAGAAGTCTGTGCTGTGCCTCTGAGGGAGCAAGGCTATAAGAAGATGACAGAGTACAGTCTCTTGACAGTTGTGAAGATTTCAAAATCAATACAGCAGCTTATTTTATAGTAGTTTCAGAGGCTAAAAAATAGTTGATCAGAACATCAATATGTAAAATACTGTTTTACATCAACTGAGGATTTGATCCAGTGAAGGAAACTTGTTTATATGGAGAGCACTGCTACTTGAAATGTAGTATTAAGAGAAATCTTTCCTCTAAGGAACGTATACTTGGTCATAAATTATTCATAAAATGTATATCTGTTATTTTTGATGGGTTTTTTTTTTTACACATTCAAAGTGAAAGTCAGCTTGCAATAGTTTATTCTATAATAGAATTACAAAGAAATAGTACCCAATAGAAATGCGAAAGGAAGTAAAAGAACTTTCATAAAATGGTTGAAATATTAAGCACAACTAGTTGTTTGGATTGTTTATTTACAGAACTTTGGTTTCTACCAATGAGCATCTCCTTCAAGAATTAGCAGAAACACATGCACGACACAAGACAGAAGTTGAGCAGCTACACTGGAGTTACAATCAGCTAAAAAAAACAATGGATAAACATCCTCATAGCAACATGGACGACAACAACAGGTGTTAGTGACAATACAAGGAAATTTGTTGTAAATGATTCATAAGAGGTGAAACCCTTAAGTTCATCTAACTGTGGGAGCAAACATTTACAATGTACCATGAATTGGTGTCTTTAATACCTCCTATTTATTCAAAATTAATTGTTTTCTGTCTTTGGGCATTTGTGTATATAAATTCTTCAGCAGATATTGCTCCAGAACAAATCTCCACTTTATTTTTTTACCGAAACGTGGATGTGCATGATGTCAGTTTAAACACATTCAAATTTTGGTTGAATACTTTGACCAGACTTCATGGCTACCTAAAACTAAATGTGAGTTCAAAATTAGAACTATTATTTCAAAATCAGGACCATAAATGCCAATGGCTGAGTTAATTCACAAGGACACAGCTCATTTTTATATATAATTGTATTATAATACAAGTTGAATTATAGCACTCATCAGTACTTATGCACTGGGTACTGCTGTCCATATTATTAAACATGGTTTAGAAGTCAAACTTTTTAGGGAAATAGAAAATATTACTGTTTGCTCTTTCAATTCCACTATGAGGAAGCTTGTACCAAGAGATGAAACTGCAAGAATGTATCTGTGGTAGTCCTTAGACCTATATGTATTTGATAGTGTTATTTGTAATGGAATAACTAAAAATACTATCATACCTTTTCTCTACATAGCCATCATTGTGGAAGGCTTTTATTTTACTCTATAGATTTACAGAGTATGTGCTGTCCCCTGGGTACTCCTTTGCCTGCCAGTACACAGAGTCACATTCTCTACTGGGATCCACCTCTTGTTTCTCAGGCAGCACAAAGAGAGTGGACCCTAATGGGCAGAAAATTCCCCTATCCCAATCTGGAATGAATAATCTTGTCTGATTTTTTAAAAAAATTATTAGCAGTTAATATGTGATACAGTTCACTCTTCCGCAATATAACTGAATCAGGTATAATCTTTTTTGAATATAGTCTGATTCATCACTGAATATTTTTCTTGTCATCCTTTTCTAATAAAAGAAATTCAAATTATTTGATCTTACATCAATTCAATTCTGATACATAGTAAATACATGTTACATTTACTAACAGCTGTTTTGGAGTTAATATTAAAAGTGTATGTGTAACTAAATGAAGGATTTTTTTGTGGTTGGTTTAGTAAGAATGGTTCTTGAGATTTCTCATCGATATACTGCTTAATGTGGACAAACTGATGTTGACAGTTTTGAAGATTACTTGTTTCATGAACACGTATTATGTAAGTGATTGTAAATCATAATAACCCACCTAATACTTATTAATATTTAACATTTGAATGTGTCAGTGTCCAGAATATAGCTATTTATGCTTAGTTTGGGGGGGAAACTTTCCAATCAACTTAATAAACAAACAAGTATAAAAAAAATCTATGTATGAGGGATGTGTCAGTATACATGTTTAAGCTGGCTCCCCCTGCATAACAACAGCATGGAGCTGGTTATATTGGCGTCTGCCTACTCCTCCTCCACACTGCTGCCTCTGAGAGGCAGCAGCACGGGTGGCAGGGGGAGTGAGGGGGCCAGGTGGCTGTGTAGGAAGCTATGTGCACAGGGAGCCAGCTTTTAAGCAGGTTCCCCTCAAGGACTAACTCTTACCTGCTGCTCCCCTGTATTGCTGCCTCGGTGAAAGGCAGCGGCTGGAGGCTCCGGGGGAGCTGGTGTGTGTGGCGTGCCGGCTCCCACCTCTTCCGACTTGCTACCTCTGATACAGAGGCTGATACAGAGGCAGCAAGGGTGTGTGCGCATGTGTGGTTGTTAGGAATAACCGATGAGCCCAGGCTTGTTGGTTAATTGTGTAAATGACTACAAACGGACATTCCTAGATCCCCTGGCCCATTATGCAAGAGTAGAAGTGTTAGCCCCAGCATCCCAGGTAAATCCCAAATCAAGTCATCATCCGTTCTGTCTTCCTGCATCTCAGTTGGTCACAGTAGATGCAGCCGAAGTGAAGAATAGACTGGCATGATTTTGTGGAAATACTTTTAACAGAAAAGTTTTTCTGTTAAAAGTATTTCCGCAAAATCACATCTAGATTGGCACAGATACTTTTGCGCAAAAGCATCCGTGGCCAGTCTAGATGCGATTTTGCGCAAGAAAGCCCCGATCGCCATTTTAGCCATTCTAAAACAGTTCTTCCCTGTCTACACTGGCCCTCTTGCACAAAAGTATTCTTGCGCAAGAGGGCTTTTTCCCGAGCAGGAGTGTGAAAGTATTTGCGCAAGAAGCACTGATTTTGTACATTACAAAGTCAGTGCTTTTGCGCAATTTCAAGCGGCCAGTGTAGACAGCTGGCAAGTTTTTGTCAGAAAACTTTTGCGCAAAATCTTGCCACTCTAGATGCACCCTTCCTGTTTTAAATTGATGTGTTGTGTTGCTATGCTGTTTTCTACCCCCACCACTCCATGGATTCATTTCAGTGGGGGCTAAAGTGTCTCTTGTAAATGATTTGCCTCTCATCCACACACACCAACATCTCACCTGAGTTTAATGGTGATTGCATGTAGGTCTAGCTGGGACTATGGGTTAGAGCCTGCTTTCATTCTGGGCAATAATCTGTGCCTTTGCTGTGCTCATGCAAACTGACTCACTTCAGCACTGATTCTCCTCCTATGCCTCCC